ACATAACCCTGGATGATAGCAGCCCTAAACCCTAAACCCTAAACCCTAAACCCTATAAACCCTAAACCCTAAACCCTATAAACCCTAAACCCTATAAATCCTAAACCCTATAAACCCTAAACCCTAAACCCTTGATGATAGCATTCCGAGGAGCTCGTCCACGGCCAGGAGGAGCGCGCGCCGCCACTGGGAGCTCCTCCCAAGGGCGCTCGCCGTGGCGTTGAAGCTGATGACGTCGCGCTGCACCCCGGACTCCTGGTAGGGTTCAGGGTTTAGGGTTTAGGGTTTAGGGTTTTTTTTTTAAGCACCTTTTTCCACCTCGCATTTAAGGTCGGCAGAATTCGCTTTCGCGAAAGGCCCGCGAGACTAGTGTGCTCAGAGGGTTTAAGGTTTAGGGTTTAGGGTTTAGGGTTTAAGGTTTAGGGCTTAGATTCGGTTTAGATTTTAGGGTTTACGGTTTAGGGAAGCAGGGATTAAGGCTCAGGTAGGATTTCAAGTAGATTTAGGGTTGAGGCTCAGGAGTTTCGGGTTTAGGATTTTTGGGGGGTGCTTTTTTTCGGGTTGAGGGCCAGCGAGCCCTGATCCTACAACATATAAGCTGCTATAACTTTTTCAACAACGAAGGAAGCTTGAACCCAGCACTTGCGAGACATAACTGAACCCGAGGCCGCGGGCGCCTGCAAACCACTGAAAACCCCGACAGTGGCCCTACAACTTGCTGTAAGAAGATGAAGCTTCAGATTGGGAGATCGAGCCGAAGGCAATCGGATTGAGCTTTTTTGTACGAGTCTTTCAACCTGTTTCTTGGAGGGGTTGAGGTTCGAAGACGATCCCCAAAGGCCCGAAATCCCTGAAAAAAAACAAAAACCCTAAACCCTAAACCCTAAACCCTAAATCGAGATTCCCGCCTGCACCCCAGCACATCGCCTCAAGGCTTGCTGCCATCGCTCGGCCTTTCTGCAGGAGCACCGGGGTTTTGGGGGTTTTAGGGTTTAGGCTTTAGGGTTTAGGGTTTAGGCCGGGTTTAGGGTTTAGGGTTTAGGGTTTAGGGTTTAGGCTTTAGGGCCTGGGAGACCGCGCGACTCTTAGGGCTTTGGAGCTTCAAAGCTCCAAAGCTCGGGTCTTCAGGGGGGGGTTTAGGGCTTGGTGCTACGGGCTTGTAGGGTTTAGGGATTTGGGTTTAGAGGTTT